ACTCTTCATAGATGGAAGGGTCTTAAGGTTTATGACCCTAGGGTCTCACGTTTAGCCCCTAAGGAAGGAGGGGGGGGGGGGAAACTTTATTATGGTTTATAATGGCAAATGAACTTTTGAATATTACATGTTAATAACTTGATTGGAATTATAACCTTGAGTTGACAGTTTGATACTTTGAAAATTTTGATCCAGCCCTACCCCCAAGGGCTGTAGGGTGGGGCCCAAAGGAGTCAGTGTGCTAAAATTTCTTCATTTTCCTTGTTTAGAATCAGAGGTGCTAGTTTCAAATACTTTTTAGTCTTAAATCTGTATGCTAGATATTGAATAAGGTGGTTTTATTGTTTTTTGTCACTTTGAATAATATTTCTGTTCATGTTAAAAACAAAATCAACTCTCTGTACAAATACATCAGGTGACCGTTATGGCCCATGGGCCTCTTATTTCTTTTGATATTTTATCCTGAGGGTGTGAATTACCTTCAGTTTCTATTTCTTGTCTTATTGAACTATCAAAAAGTAGAGAAAAAAGCCATTTCAGGACTGTGAAAGTCAATGCCAATCGGATGTTGGATGCTATTTTTCAACAAGTTTGTTGTGACATCTAAATCACAACACTATGAGTTTGTGACATGACAATAATGGTCCATACTCAATGTTGGATAGAAATTCCAGTACTGGTGGAACATGAGGATCACTTGGTAGGGTGGGCAAGAAATCATTTTATCAGTCACATTATTATTCAGCGAGTATGCTCATGTCATATTTTTGCATATGAACTGATGTAGTATGACCTAGGGTGACGTTATCAAACGAAACAATATAGAACCAAGATGGCAGAATTTTACACTTCAGGAGTGATCATTGAAATGCTCCCGATCTCAAAATTCTTGATCATGTGATACAAAAAAACATTTTCAATTGTTTCCATTTCATATGGGATATGAAACTATGCAATGGAAACTTGTGCAAGTCTATATATCTATACACTCCACTATAGGTAATTAGTTGTATATTGTGTTGACCAGTTGTAGCTGTTTTTATCCCATGTTCTATGTTGACAGAGAATGCCCAGAACCCTTACAGTGCTACTGTTGTGATCAGTGATATAGAGTACGGTACCGGGTATTCCAGCAGTAAAAAGTCAGCCAAAATGGCAGCAGGTAATAAACTACTGATGTGTTGCATGCTCACAATCTGAACATCAAATTTGAAGTTGCATTCATAGTACTAAAAACATACGTTGCTTCATGTGTTATGGTGCCTTTGCCAAACATTAACAAAATTTAACACTGCACGAATAAAGATGTCATCGGTAAAGGGTAATTATTGACCTGGATGAAAATTTCCCTATAGGGAAGAGTATAAACATGTAGACCTAAAATTAGGAACACGGTCAGTGCTGAGCCCTTACAATAACACTGTTATAATTCCAAATCACTATCAATGGAAAGGAACACCAAATTAGCAACAATTTTTCTATAATTCATAAAATTTGTGCAGTAATATGTCGTAAAATCTCAACGTCATTTCGGAGATTTCAAAACTAATTCACATGAAACTTTTCCCATGACTGCTTCCTTCAGCTTAAGCAACCTTACTGAGGAAAACATTGGTTTAATATTCAAATGAGGTATAACTTTTAAAAGCAATTTTACATAGCGAGAATTTTTGCCATTGTTATCTGGTGTAAATGTGACCTCTAGGGATGATGATTTGGGGAAGGCCAGTGTTGACACTCAGTATGACATAAGCAGTGTTTATTATGAGTGGAAGACTCATCATGTCTTTTTGTGTCATGGATCATTCAGGAATATAAGAAATCATTTGTATGTCGTGGGAGGAACATTATGTGGCATTTTAACATCCAGTGGTAGAATGGATAAACATATTCCCTGTCCCTCTGACTGCCTGCAGTATTACGGTGCTATAAACATATTACCTGTCCCTCTGCCTGCCTGCAATTATTACTGTGCTATAAACATATTCCCTGTCCCTCTGCCTGCCTGCAGTATTACGGTGCTATAAACATATTACCTGCCCTCTGCCTGCCTGCAGTATAACGGTGCTATAAACCTATTCCCTGTCCCTCTACCTGCCTGCAGTATTACGGTGCTATAAACATTTTACCTGTCAGTCTGCCTGCCTGCAGTATTACTGTGCTATAAACATATTTCCTGTCCCTCTGCCTGCCTTCAGTATTACGGTGCTATAAACATATTACCTGTCCCTCTGCCTGCCTGCACTATTACGGTGCTATAAACATTTTACCTGTCAGTCTGCCTGCCTGCAGTATTACTGTGCTATAAACATATTCCCTGTCCCTCTGCCTGCAGTCTTACAGTGCTATAAACATATTCCCTGTCCCTCGAACTGCCTGCAGTATTACGGTGCTATAAACATATTCCCTGCCCTCTGCCTGCCTGCAGTATAACGGTGCTATAAACCTATTCCCTGTGCCTCTACCTGCCTGCAGTATTACGGTGCTATTAACATATTCCCTGTCCCTCTGACTGCCTGCAGTATTACAGTGCTATAAACATATTCCCTGTCCCTCTGCATGCCTGCAGTATTACGGTGCTATAAACATATTTCCTGTCCCTCTGCCTGCCTTCAGTATTACGGTGCTATAAACATATTACCTGTCCCTCTGCCTGTCTGCAGTATTACTGTGCTATAAACATATTTCCTGTCCCTCTGCCTGCCTTCAGTATTACGGTGCTATAAACATATTCCCTGTCCGTCTGACTGCCTGCAGTATTACGGTGCTATAAACATTTTACCTGTCCCTCTGACTGCCTGCAGTATTAAGGTGCTATAAACATATTCCCTGTCCCTCTGACTGCCTTCAGTATTACGGTGCTATAAACATATTCCCTGCCCCTCTGCCTGCCTGCAGTATTACTGTGCTTTAAACATATTACCTGTCCCTCTGCCTGCCTGCGGTATTACTGTGCTATAAACATATTACCTGTCCCTCTGACTGCCTGCAGTATTATGGTGCTATAAACATATTACCTGTCCCTCTGCCTGCCTTCAGTATTACGGTGCTATAAACATATTCCCTGCCCTCTGCCTGCCTGCAGTATAACGATGCTATAAACCTATTCCCTGTCCCTCTACCTGCCTGCAGTATTACGGTACTATAAACATATTCCCTGTCCCTCTGCCTGCAGTCTTACAGTGCTATAAACATATTCCCTGTCCCTCGAACTGCCTGCAGTATTACGGTGCTATAAACATATTACCTGTCCCTCTGACTGCCTGCAGTATTATGGTGCTATAAACATATTACCTGTCCCTCTGACTGCCTGCAGTATTATGGTGCTATAAACATATTACCTGTCCCTCTGACTGCCTGCAGTATTACGGGGCTATAAACATATTCCCTGTCCCTCTGCCTGCCTGCATTATTACGGTGCTATAAACATTTTACCTGTCCGTCTGCCTGCCTGCAGTATTACTGTGCTATAAACATATTACCTGTCCCTCTGCCTGCCTGCACTATTACGGTGCTATAAACATTTTACCTGTCCCTCTGACTGCCTGCAGTATTACGGTGCTATAAACATATTCCCTGTCCCTCTGACTGCCTGCAGTATTATGGTGCTTTTGGGCGAAAAGTTCCTTTATTTTCTGACAGCTGACTGTTGATTCTGCACACTGTGGCTTATATAACTAGTGAGTAGTTTTCAGCAGTTTAGGGTCGAAACACCTGTCATTTCAACTCTTTGCTTGATGAAGGAAACTACCTTGAAAGCTCGCAAAATATTTTTTCAGTTACTTTATGTGTTAAAAAAACCCTTAGAATTTATTATTTGTACCAAACTGATGAATGTCATCCAGTAATGTGTGTTAATTCCAACCCTGCATCACTCTGAGTTGGGTTGTTGTTAGTCTCGCCCTTACTATGTTTGGTAGACGGTAGTGTTTACATGCAGCATTTGACATGTTCATGGACAATTGTGAATAACATTTATGTGTGAAGTGTGTAAGTTCATTTACCCCTGTTCATATTTAATAATGTTGCATACATTCCGTTTCATTCCCTATATCGCCACTATTTTGATCGCTATGTCACATCAGAATGCCTTATCAGTTTCAGCTTTGTCAGATTGATATCGTCGATATATTGGACATTAGAACATGTCACTATTGTTAAAATGGCATAGGCTGATTTATTTTCCAAACCTCTAACACGAACAATAATAAACAAGAAGACAAACACAATAAACAAACAATGATAAGCACATCTAGCAATATTTTTCACAGTGTGTTTGGTTTATGCAATGGGAGACAACTTGAATAACAATAGCTTATTGAAAAATGGGGATTTGGAAAATTCTAAATGTAGAAAAAATAAAAACCCGCTGTTCATACTAATATCACATGTGCTACTACTGTACACAGCGGTTTTATTTCGTGGGTGTTTTAAATTTTGCTATATTCATGTTTCGACCAATATCCGCGAATTCTTAACACCAGCAAAATTATCAAAAATGCTAACCACTTTTACAGGCCTTATCACAACATGTTGGAAATACTTATAACCCAACGCTGTTGTGCAAGTTTAAATGAACTCAAATCAGATAATCACTGGAAAAATGGGCAGTCTATGTAAAAACAACACTTACATATAAGTGGCCACAACATATGTACAATGTATGTGTACACAGTAGGTGATTAATTGATTACAGTTTACTTCTACAAAGGTACATACACATCTGATTTTCTTTCAAGTGCAGTCACTGGTGGATGACAATGCTTGGGATCAGTGTTTTCTAACGGTTATCTGTATTTCGAGGTTTAACCCTTAAGTGATGACACTCAAATTACTTTGCAAGACACATGGGATTCGGGTGCACAGCAGAATTTAACCCCCACAAATATGTACTTAATATGGAACCATGAACTATTGACCCCACAAATTAAAAGTATATACAGTATTAACCAATCACAAAACTTGTAACAAAGCATAGATACGGGTACCCTATAGTAATCACTCTGTCTGTCTGTCCGTCCACAAATTTTGTTCCTGGCTAATAACTTTTGTATTAAATGACCGATTTACATAAAACATGGTCAAGATGTTCAGTTCACAAAAATACACACTCAGGTAACAGGTCAAAGGTCAAAGGTAAATGTTAAAAGGTCCAGGTCCAGGTCAAATTTTGCATCTTTTCACTGATGAGCATTTTGTTATGACATGATGAAGCGAAGTTGGTCGAAATTAAACATGTAGACACACTGAGGTAAAAAGTCGAGGTCATAGGTCAAGGTCATTAGGTTCAAAGGTCAATGTCTATTTTTGCATTTTTTCACTGATGAACATTTTGTTATGACACTATGAAGCAATATTGGTCAGAATTAAATACGGAGTCAACTGAACAAAGGTCAAGGTCATCAGATCAAAGGTCAAGGTTAGATATTGTATCTTTCCACTGGTGAATATTTTGTTATGACCCTATGAAGCAATGTTGGTCAGAATTAAACAAGGAGTCAACTGATGAAAGGTCAAGGTCACTGGGTCAATGTCAAGGTCAAATATTGTATCTTTTTACTGATGAACATTTTGTTATGATATTATGAAGCAAAGTTGGTCCGACTAAAAGAATAATTCAACTGACCAAAGATCAGGGTCACTGGGTTAAATGTCAAGGTCATTTGGGTCCAAAAGTCAAAGACAAAGTGGATCTCTGATTATGACCCTGGCTCTTGATGGAGGAGGTATTTAAAGTGAAATAAAACGTATCAAAGCTAACAAATGAGTATTGCACCGGTATTTACATTTCTGTTAGCCTAGCAAATATGGAGGTGGAAGGAAACAAGACTCACATCATAGTACATGTTTAATGTATATTTTGCTTCCTTGCAATCCCTTTTTGAAGTCCAAATATCAGACGTCAAGCTCAGCTATATGGGCAGATTGCTTATTGATGATTATAGCGGATATATTGCCACAAGACGGGGCCCTTACTGACCTGTCAGTGTTCTAGTTTGGAATTATAATTATTATATAAATTATGTAATTTACTTAATTTATAAGGGAAGTTAATCATATATATTGTAATTATTGCTATTAGGGCACACAGATCTGCTGTTTGAAGCACAATTATCAATAAATACTCATAAAAATGAAGACATTTACTTTCAGTACTGTGAAGTGGTATTTATATGAGTGGTGATTGTCATGCTAAGTGCTTATTTCTTGAAGCCAAAGAAACCTTGAGTATACTTATCCCAGAAATGAGCAAAGTCACAGATGAGATCACCAAGGACGAGGACCTATCGGTGAGTCATTGGAGGGAATTATCACCCTAACAATGAAACCCTCACCCCATCCCAAAGTGGTCAAGTGTGACCTTTTGTATCCTAAGTTGGTGTTTATTAATAGATTGGAGACACCCATGGTAGATATTAAGTGGCCTTAATTACTTGTATAAATGATATTTCTGCTTCACGTCACAATTACAGGCAATTGCTGGGGCCTTTTGATCTCTTGTTCAGTTTCCCTTCATTTACAGTGAAAATTCCATGGTCCCTTAACTTTATCTATATTGATTTGTTAATTCTGGATTTATTGCAGTAAGTCTTAATATTGAAGACAATCATAGAAGGTTTTCAGAAACATCTCTGTTAAATGAACATCATTTTGAAAGTTGATACATGTGCTTAAACTCATAAACTGCTTGCATTATTGTAGTTTTTTGATGAGATCAAGATCGAGGACCCTCGTGTGTATGAGCTATGCAATAAGGTGGGGCAGCCCAGTCCCTACCAGATTCTGCAGGAATGTCTCAGCAGGTAACTGTTCACAGATGCTGCAACGTTGATTTATCATAGGGATGGGCCCAATATGGGAAATAGTGGTAAATCTTTAAAATACGTTTCCTTTTGTACTACCAAATTTGGTTTAGATGGATCCTTAAGCAACTGGGTCGTCTCAAGCCATGTCTTTGTCAGTAATCTAGAAGGTACCATTGCTTCATGTAGTGCGCATAGGCTAGTCCTTGTCACATAGACTACCAAAAGTGCACCCCACTATTCCCTGCTGTAGTTCTAGAACAGGCTAATTTGTTTAATACAGTAAACTTCCGGTCAGTTCGAACAAAATTAAATAAATATTTTTAATCCTGTTTGAATAACACGAATTATAGCAGCTAAAATAAGAAATTCAATCATTCTGAATTGACGTCGGCAAAAAGCATGAGGAACGGTCAAGTTGCTGGTATGGGACAACGACTGCCTATTACGATATATTTGCAAATCTGGCAATGGATAATGGTGCATACGTCTTTCTAATATTTACTTACATATTAATAATAGATTATTAGTTCAATTTGCACATAATCGCGAAGCAGAGACAAGTTTATATAGGCTGCAAAGCAGTAAAGGTTTTCTTGAGTATTGACATATCAGCTGATTGAAACTGTAGTTACGGATTAACAGGTGGATCGGCCACTTGGTCAAATCTGTTTGTTTTGGCATATGTACAGGTAACATATCAATTAAGTAATAAATCAGTGATCAGTGGCCAGGTCGCGGTTATATAATCAAGTTGTAACAGTGATATCATGACAATACACACGTGTCTGTCAGCGATGTGAGGGAAACATTCCTTGCCGTACTGATATGATGTTATACATGGTTGGGGCCTAAAATTGTTTAACTTGCACATGTTAACAAGAAAGAAACTCAACCATCGCTATCACGATGCTTATTTATGTACACATTTTGTCCGTTATAGATGCATATGATGGTCACATATCATGAAAACTACTCTAGCTCTTTACTCAGTTATTAGTTATCAGTGCTGCTATTAAAATAGATCAGTTTGAGTAAGTTTTGCGAGGCTATAATTGCAACGCCGATAGCCAAAGTCAATCAATAATAACGTAATTTCCAATTTTGTATTTTAACTAGCCAAAATGTTGGTAAGCAGGGTTTGAACTATCACTGGACAGAAAATTATTGTTTTTATTGGACAAAAAAGTGTAATCGAATTATCAGCCTATCAAATTGACTGGAGGTTTACCATATGCAGAATGACTGGTCTGTCTACTTTTGAATCAAACTTGGTGGATCTGTGAGGTTTGTGTCAAGGCTTGCAAGAATTCAGACAACTAATACTAAGATACTAGATCCAGACATAAATGAATGGTCTAAGTTGGCTGAACTACTTGAATGCGGCATTAGTGTACAGATACACTAATGTGACACCTTGATTTCCATCGCACTGACACTCTTACTTGTGCTTAGAAATTAGTGATCACCGTTGATTGTAACCATTTTCAGCAATCTTTGAAACTGTTCAGTGTTGTGACACTTGTTTGCAGAAACTACGGAATGGGTGACACAAACTGTAAGATTGACGTGAAATCCCTAAAACACCAGAAGAGTGAATACTCCCTGACAGTTGGAAAGCGCACAGTCACAGTAAGTCTGCTACAGTTTTTAAGAGTAATTTCTGGGGGGAATAGTATTGTTAAATAAGTCCCCCAAACAAAGTGGGGGACTTATTGGTATTCACCTTCTTTTTCTTCCACTGTAAAAGTTTCCGGCACATTTCTCAAAAACTAATTGACAGATATTAATGAAACTTTACACAAGTGTTTATCATGGTGTGGTGGGGGGGTGTCATTTTCCAATCGGTCAACAAAGATGGCCCGCCAAGGGCTCCGATTTGTTCAAATTAGATATTGGTAGATTTAGCTCAAATTTGGTATGTAAGAGTATTTTGCATCTTTGCAATTATGGGGGCAGTTTGGGGGACTTCTTTGATGATCTCCCATTACAATTAGTACCTGTGGACACCTAGGATTTCGAGTTTGATATGGTTATGCTACTGTGCAGCTGCTGTATTTTGGCACCATCATCAAGTTTTCTTTAAAACAATGTCTAGTCCAAGCAGCTGAGAGGATTTTGATACTCTTTGGTATGAAGTATCACTGGGCTAACTGAATCAGTCTGTAGGTTACATAAATTAAAAGTGTTCCCTGCCCCACACTGAGGGCAAAAGAAATGGGCTGCGGCCCCCAATAGGGATAAATGAACAGTGTACAATTGAATATTAATGTTTCAAATTTAACTATTACAATTAATATGTAGTGTCCCTTTCGAATGTCATAACTTTTTAATTGCATTTATTCATATATTCTTTTTGTATCAAAATACTTTAAAAAATTTGAAGATATACAGTTATTTGATTTTATTAGCATATTTTATTTTGGAAGGAAAGGGGAAAGAATATTGATTAATAAGGGGAGACACGTTTTTGTTAAAAAAATGAGATCTGTAGTTGTATATCATTGTCTGGACAATATCACTGACCAACAACTGACAGACAGGATACTCACTATTTCTGTATTGGTGTTCAAGGAATGTATTGCTGTAGTGATAAACTACATGTAAGGAAATGTAATGTTCAGGTTGATAAATCATCATGTTAACCTCAGTAGAGATTAATGGTTGTTCCATAGTAATGTGTTGTGAATATCTCCCCAGGTGGTGTGTAAGAACAAACGAGAAGGTAAACAGAGAGCAGCTCAAGCCATCCTACAGGTCAGTGCACATTTAATACTACATCTTGGTCTAGTCTATCCTGATTGTTTCCCTGTCTAAGAGATTGAAGACAAAATATACCACTGATTTCCATGATTATGGAAACTGATCTTAATTTAATAAAAAATAAATTAAAAAAATCTCTTGTCCAAATTTTGCTCAATGTTTTTAATTCACATATTTCCATTTTAAAAATATAAGAGTGGTTTTGTATTTCCTAAACCTCTCTTAAACTAAGAATCCAAATTATTTAGTATTAAAATCTTGAAACTGTACACCTGTGCTGAATAAAGAGTACCTACCTTATCACTGAATATTTATATATATTGATTCTGTACACCTCTGCCTAGTACCTTACCTTATCACTGAATATTTATATATATTGATTCTGTACACCTCTGCCTAGTACCTTACCTTATCACTGAATATTTATATATATTGATTCTGTACACCTCTGCCTAGTATCTTACCTTATCACTGAATATTTATTTATATTGATTCTGTACACCTCTGCCTTGTACCTTACCTTATCACTAAATATTTATATATATTGATTCTGTACACCTCTGCCTTGTACTTTACCTTATCACTAACTATTTATATATATTGATTCTGTACACCTCTGCCTTGTACCTTACCTTATCACTGAATATTTATATATATTGATTCTTGGATGCTTTTACAGAACCTTATGAACATATTACGATGTTTTGAATTGTTACATTGACAGGAGCTACATCCTCACATTACAAGTTTGGGCTCCCTACTAAGGCTGTATGGGCGCTCCTCATGGAAAAATCTCAAGGAAAAGAAGGTAAGCGGCCTCCACACACCACTTAGTCTGTATTATGTCTCCCCTTCGAATGAAGGGAAGGGAGACATATTTTATTAGTACTGGTTCTTCTTCTGGTTCTTCTGGTTCTTCTGGTTCTTCTAATCGCAACTTTTAACATAACATAACTTTTAAACCATTAAAGATATCTTGATGAAACTTTAGGTATGCATGCATCACCCACAGAAGGTGTGCAGGGAACTGGAATTAGGTCACTGTGACCTTCACCTTAAGGTCAAAGGTAAAATAAGTGCCAAATTTTCAGTAAATTCTTGTCCGCTCTGTAAATTTTAAACCGTTAAAGATATCTTGATCAAACTTGAAGTATACCTGCATCACCAACAGAAAGTGTGCAGTGCACTGGAATTAGGTCCCGTGCTTTACTATATACAGAGTTATGACCTTTTGTTTAATTTTGATACCGAAGTTTGTTCGGAGCATACGTTCCATGTTATTTCATCTACGTTGACCAAACTTACCATATTTATGTATCATGTACATAATCTCTATAGTATTACAGTACATTAACTCTATAGAGTTAGTATCAGTGTATTACAGTACATTAACTCTATAGAGTTAGTATCAGTGTTTTACAGTACATTAACTCTATAGAGTTAGTATCGGTGTATTACAGTACAGTATTTCTATAGAGTTAATATCAGTGTATTACAGTACATTATCTCTATAGAGTTAGTATCAGTGTATTACAGTACATTATCTCTATAGAGTTAATATCTGTATATTACAGTACATTATCCCTATAGAGTGAGTATCAGTGTATTACAGTACATTAACTCTATAGAGTTAGTATCAGTGTATTACAGTACATTATCTCTATAGAGTTAGTATCAGTGTTTTACAGTACATTAACTCTATAGAGTTAGTATCAGTGTATTAAAGTACATTATCTCTATTGAGTTAGTATCAGTGGTTAGTATCAGTGTATTACAGTACATTATCCCTATAGAGTTAGTATCGGTGTATTACAGTACATTATCTCTATAGAGTGAGTATCAGTGTATTACAGTACATTATTTCTATAGAGTGAGTATCGGTGTATTACAGTACATTATCTCTATAGAGTTAGTATCAGTGTAATACAATACGTTATCTCTATAGAGTAAGTATCAGTGTATTACAGCACATTACCTCTATAGAGTTAATATCGGTGTATTACAGTAGATTATATCTAGAGTGAGTATCAGTGTATTACAGTCCATTAACTCTATAGAGTTAGTATCAGTGTATTACAGTACATTTACTCTATAGGGTTAGTATCAGTGTATTACAGTACATTATTTCTATACAGTTCGTATCAGTGTATTACAGTACATTATCTCTATAGAGTTAGAATCGGTGTATTACAGTACATTAACTCTATAGAGTTAGTATCGGTGTATTACAGTACATTAACTCTATAGAGTTAGTATCTGTGTATTACAGTACATTGACTCTATAGAGTTAGTATCAGTGTATTACAGTACATTTACTCTATAGGGTTAGTATCAGTGTATTACAGTACATTATTTCTATACAGTTCGTATCAGTGTATTACAGTACATTATCTCTATAGAGTTAGTATCGGTGTATTACAGTACATTAACTCTATAGAGTTAGTATCAGTGTATTACAGTACATTTACTCTATAGGGTTAGTATCAGTGTATTACAGTACATTATTTCTATACAGTTCGTATCAGTGTATTACAGTACATTATCTCTATAGAGTTAGTATCGGTGTATTACAGTACATTAACTCTATAGAGTTAGTATCGGTGTATTACAGTACATTATCTCTATAGAGTGAGTATCAGTGTATTACAGTACATTATCCCTATAGAGTTAGTATCGGTGTATTACAGTACATTATCTCTATACAGTTCGTATCAGTGTATTACAGTACATTATCTCTATAGAGTTAGTATCAGTGTAATACAATACGTTATCTCTATAGAGTAAGTATCAGTGTATTACAGCACATTGCCTCTATAGAGTTAATATCGGTGTATTACAGTAGATTATATCTAGAGTGAGTATCAGTGTATTACAGTCCATTAACTCTATAGAGTTAGTATCAGTGTATTACAGTACATTTACTCTATAGGGTTAGTATCAGTGTATTACAGTACATTATTTCTATACAGTTCGTATCAGTGTATTACAGTACATTATCTCTATAGAGTTAGAATCGGTGTATTACAGTACATTAACTCTATAGAGTTAGTATCGGTGTATTACAGTACATTAACTCTATAGAGTTAGTATCAGTGTATTACAGTACATTATCGCTATAGAGTGAGTATCTGTGTATTACAGTACATTAACTCTATAGAGTTAGTATCA